AATCTACAGCTGTAGATGTGTGGCGCTCCGCGCGGGTCTCTTGGACCGGGTTTTTTACGGCGTTTGTTGTAGTTGTACCTTCTGAATATAAGATCGAGGTCGGTTCGGGGAGGGTGCCCTGGTCTCGCGGGCGAAGAACGGCATTCGATAGTGTGTCTCGCCGCTGGGGACGCCCGTCCCCAACGGCGGCAGGAAAGTTTATATCCTGACGTGCCACCCTAGGGGTACAGACTTCCCAACCGCCCCGGGACAGGCGTCCCCGACGGCGAAAAAGTTTATGTTATACCGTCCTTTGCCCATCAACTACTGTTTCTCGTGTTTGTTTGATGTTTTTGTGCATCCTGGGGAGGGTATCTTTGGCTGCTCTGTGTGTGTTTGGCCCGCGGAGGGTCTCATGTTCTTGAAATGTGCTCTTCTGTCTAAGGTCCGACCGTACGGGGAGAATGGATGCGAAGACTGACGGCAGTTCTTGTCCATCTTAAACGGGGCTCGCTGTCGGCGTCGCCGCGGACATTGTTTGAAGGCCGCCTGCCCAACAGCGACCGCTGTTGGTTTTAGACAGCATGTGCTGTTGGGCATTGTACCCATGTTTTCCGTACCCACTGCGGGCGCCCAAATCCCCCGCGCGCTAACGAAGACTCGGATTGCTTGGCTCGGCGCTGGGCCCCTCCTGGCGGCAGCTCCAGTGCCGCCCCTGGCGCGCTCCGCGCGACCGGCAGGGGGGTCCAGCGCAGATCCACAAAACAGCGCGCACCTCTGACAGTGTAAGTCGGCGGCGAGCGAGGGGGGGAAGTGCGAAGGAGAAGGCCCAAGGCCTTCTCAGAAGGCGGCGGGGCTTCTCTGAAGCCCTGCGGCCTTCTGAGAGGTTTTCTGCGTCTCCGTGAGAGGCTAAGAAATCTGTTCAGAAGCCCCGGGGACGTCCGAGCCTTCTGAGAAGGCCCGCCCCCTCTACCTTCCCCCCCCGGCTGACCGCCGATAATGTTTATGCAGTTGTTTCTTTTTCCACTCTCCGCCTCCCCCCGCGCGCTGGCGGAGCCTCGGAGGCTAGAGAGGCTCGGTACATCCACCGCACCGCATGACTGGCTACGGAGCCCATGAGCTCGGCGAAGGATCTCGGCACATACAGTCGGGAACGTTTGTCGGCGGCGAGCGAGGGGTGAAGTGAGGAGGGAAGGCCTTCTCAGAAAGCGGCGGGACTTCTCAGAGGCCCTCCTGGACTTCTGAGAAGTTGTCCGTGTCTTCGGGGAAGGCTTCGACAACTTCTCGGAAGCGGGGGGCACTTCCAGGCCTTTGGAGAAGGCCTTAGCCAAGCTTAGCGCTTCGCGCCGCGCGCTCAGGCCCGCCGCGCTCCGGCGCGACACGCAAGCCACGTCCCCAGGCATCCACCGGGTGTTGTCAGAAGTGCCCCTGGGCCGAGGTGGCCCAAACGGCCTCCAAAGCACCCCTCACGAGGCCCCAGAGGTCCCCAGGGGCTCCACAATGGAGCGAAAAGCTGGGGGCACCTTGGGCCAGGGGTGCTTCTAGCGACACCCGAATCCACCGATATGATTTTTTCAATCCGCTGCCCCTGAGGCCCCGACCCCTTCCCCAAGGATGTTTTTTCTTTCGTACCGGATCAACAGAGCAGTTTTTGATGGTCCCCAGGCCCGATACTGGGCCCTGGAGGCCGAAATGCAAGAAAAAACGCCCGACTGAAAAAACCAGATCCTCGGATCGTTGGGCCCCAGTCCCCGAGCGTGGACGTTCCTGGCTCTTCCCGGCCTCCCTCCACGCGGAGCGGAGCGACACGCTATCGGCTCGCAGGCGCTGGCCGAAGCCTCGCCGGCGACGGGCGGGCCGCGTCTCTGCTGCGCCCGGTGGCGCCTGCAGTTGCCCTCTGGCACGGGTCGGGGCGCGCCCGTCGGGGCCCCAGACATCCGAGGATCTGATTTGCGCAATCGGGTGTTTTTTCCTGGATTTCGGCCTCCGTGGTCCGTCATCGGGCCTGGGGGCCATCAGAAATGGTTCCGGGACGAAAAACCACCCCTGGGGAAGGGGTCGGGACCTCGGGGGCAGCGGATGATCCGGGCCGCCCGAGTGGGGCCGAGTGCCAGGACGCGTCCTTGAGATTCCTGGACGTTGCAGCTTTTGTCGCGAAATGGATTCTCGGCTGGTTTTGGGCCATGTGGCCATCCTAGATCGATCCGGCTCGAACAGTGCAGCATAACGATGGGACCTACGCCTCTGGTCATGATTTTACGCGATATCGCATGTTTTTCGCAGCGCCGAATCTCAGGGTTGGGAAAGTGGCTGGAGCCCGTCCTCCCGCTCCTTCTAGCCCTGGCCCGTTTCCCTTCGGTTTTTCCCGCCCCCGGCGATCTCATCCCCGTTGTTTCGGGCTCGCTTCAGCCCCAGCCAGATTTGTCCAACCCTCACCATTTTTATTGTCGCATGGTTTCCAACTTCAGTGTTTCCAGTTTCTCCATTGATAAGGGTTGGGGGCGCGGTCTGCAGCCCGATATTTTCTCCACCCCGACTTCGCCGATGCGTCGCCGATGCATCGGCGATGCGGTGCGATCCTCTCGCCCCACGTGCTCGGACCCCATCTGGGCGGCCTCAACAGGTGGAGGCCTCAGCCGCTGCCTGGCAGGCCGCAGGCAGTCGCCCATAAGGAAGAGGTCGGAGGAAAGCCAGTCGAGACAGCGGCGGTCCTCTGCTGCATTTCTCGTCCCTTCGGGCCTCATGGAGGCTCTTCGTCGCCAGGGCTGGATCCAACTCGAAAAACGCACCAGGACGGACCCCGGGAGGAGTCCGGGGACCGATCTTGAGCGGTCGTGGGGCGGGTCGGGCCGCCGCTTGTCTCAAGTGGCCCAGCTCCGAGAAGGGGTCCTTGGAGGAACGGGGTCTTGGAGGTTTTCCACATTTTTGGATATCCCAAGGCCCTTCCGAATTACCCACGCTTCCTCGCGTCGCTAAAAATAACAGGAGGTGTTTGCGATCTGTCTGCCTCCACGGGGGACCTCACCTCGCCCTGACCAGGCCACGGGACAGCCAACAAACTACTCGGGACGAAAAGCCCGTCTCCAGGAAGGAGTCCAGACCTCTGGGCGTCCACGCTGCTGAAACAAGCACGACGCTGGTGTCTGAGCAGGCCCTGAGGCCATCAGAAGACCACTCAGGATGAACGACCAGGCCCGCGGAAAGCTCCAGGGACCAGGACCCGCTTCCACCAGAAGCCGTTGCCAGACCCTCGACCTTGTGAGTTTCTCGCCGCGTGGGCCCCTTCCGCGTGCCGCGACGCCTTTCCCGGGATCGGCTTCTCAACCCGGGTCTTTCATTGACTGCCCTGAGGCCCAGGAGGGGCCCGCAGGAACGAAAAGGTGCCGAGTCGTGCTTGTGGTCATGTCGCGACAAGGTCCTAGGTTGCCACCAGGGCCCTGTGCCCGCATGCCCAGTCCGGGCGCGTTCGCGGCCTGCTCAGACCTGAACGCCGCGAAGAGGTCACGACGGGCGCCGATGCCTCGATCAGGGCCTCGGGGGACCCCGAGACCCTCGCGGATCGATTGGGCCTGGGAGATGGCACAAACATATGTGCGATGGTAACATCTCACGTCGCGAAGAAGACGTGACGCAAGGTGATCGGCAAGTTTCAACTTCATGGGGTCCTCACCGAGCCCCGGGACAGTCCAAAAATTGCTAAGGGTGAAAAATTGGCAACTACCCAGGAGGGGGTCCACAACTTTGGGAAACCACATTCCCCCCCCCCCCAAAAAAAAAACGACGTCGGCTGGCGAAGGGGACCTGAGGCCAGGTCCCAGGCATCAGGCCGCCTGTTCATCTTGAGTAGTTCCTCGACGGCCCCTCGGGGCCTCAGAAGGGCACCAGAAGGCCGAAGAGAATCGAAGCAATATCATCAGGACCCCCTTCCCCCAGGGCCACAGTTCTTCACGGCGAGAGGTGGGGTCGAGAACTCCGTCCGTGAGTTGTTCGCGACGTGGTAACTTGTTTGACGACCTCGGTTCTCGGAATTCTCCCCTCGCGGATCTCACGACTCTCGCGAGACGCGATGCTGCGTGGATGTGCTGCAAAAATATGCGCGCATGTTGGCCTCCTCCCTCCTCCCGCCTTCCTCCTCCTCCTCCTTGTCCTCCATCTTTTTGGTTTATCAACAACTCCTCCCTGTCGCACCCCCAGACGTGTCGGTAGGGCGGGCCACGCGTTTCGCTTGAGACGCCCCCGCCAGTTATGATCCTGAATCTTGAACGCTGCAATCACTTCACTATTAGAGGGCAGGCCGTTTTCGAAATCTGGCTCTCGCTTCAGCCCCGCGCATATACATTTGAAAAGTTCGCAAGAGGTTCACTGATGGAGTGCGGGTCGTTTTCAAAACATGGCCATGGCCGTGGGGCCACGCGCCTTCGTGTTATAAGTCTGACGCAGCTTAGGGAATGGAGGGCGGGTGAGTTTCAACATGTGGCCCTCGCCTTAGCACCGCGCACACTCATCTCTCGAAAGTGTGCAACAGCTTCACGGATGGAGGGTGGGTGGTTTTCAACATGTGCTTATCGTTTTGGTGTCGTGCGCATTTTTCTCACAAGCTTGCAGCAGCTTCAAGGACGTAGCGCGGTTCCTTTTCGATATGTGGCCCTCGCCTTAGCACCGCACGCATTCCCTTTAAAAGCTTGCGACCTTTTAAGGGCTCGTATGGTCGAAGTCCCACGGATAGTACTCTGGCACGGTTCTGGATGGTGGGGACGCAACAGTTGCGCTGCTTCGTGGCGACGGAGTCCCAGGCATGATGTTTTTTGCACAGTTTTGGATTGCCAAGACGCAACGCTTGAGAATTCCCAGACGTCCCAGACGGTTGTCTTCTAATGGGCCACTTCCCGCCATGAAAACTGCTGTTAGTTACAAATACCCATGACAAGGGAACTTGGAGGGAGGGTTCATTGCATCTTCGTTGATGCGTCTTGGGTTGACCCGCTTGGCCGAGAAGGGAAGGCAGCAGCCCTCAGGTAATCATGCAGATCATTTCGGACGCGGAGAGCACGGAGAAGGAGCTCGACGTCTCCGAGAACGCGGCGCGTTTCTTGGGGCCAGGGGCGCGGAGGGGGAGGAGTCGGCGGGGGAAGGAGGGGTTCGAAGACGAGGAGAGCCCAGATTTTGGGTGGCCCGCGGATGGCGGTGGGGAGGACCAAGGGGAAGAGGAGAAGGATGTGTATGAGGAAGGGAGGGAGGGAGGTTGGAACCGAATACACAGATACACAATTCATAATGTGTAAACTTGCATACAACAGATATTCACATCTCCCCAGACAGACCTACACAGATAGGCAAGAGCGTGTTCTACCGCTGCTGGTGGAAAACCAGGGGGGTCACTGGGGGGTCCCAACCCGTCCTCCACCCCCCCCCGAAAACCGGGGAGGGTCACTACCGGTTCGAACCCCGCCCCCCCCGTCCATCATGAAAAGGGGGGGGTCCACTACCGGCTCGAACCCCCCCCCTCCCCCCTCGTCGCCGGCAGAAGATTCCCGCTCCTCGGGACAGTTGGACAGAGGCGGGGATCTTGGGACAGTGGTGGAGACGGTGGTGGTGGGGACAGTGGTGTGGGGACAGTGGGACAGTGGTGCGGACAGTGGGACAGTGGTGGGGACGGTGGTGGTGAGGACAGTGGCGAGGGGACAGTGGGACAGTGGTGGGGACAGTGGGGACAGTGGGACAGTGGTAGGGACGGTAGTGCTGGGGACAGTGGTGAAAGCGGTGGTAAGGACGGTGGTGGGACAGCAGTACAGTGGGGAGAGTGGTGAGGACAGTGGGGACAGTGGGACAGTGGTGGCGACAGTGGGGACAGTGGGACAGCACAGTGGGACAGCGGCGGGGACTGGGGACAGTGGGACAGTGGTGGGGGTAGTGGGGACAGTGAGACTAGTGGGGGCACTGGTGGGGACAGCGGGGACAATGGTGGGAGCAGTGGGGACAGTGGGACAGGTGGTGGGGACTGTGGGATTGTGGCGGGGACGGTGGTGGTGGGGACAGTGGTGTGGGGACAGTGGGACAGTGGTGGTGGTGGGAACAGCGGGGACAGTGGGACAGTGGTGGGGACAGTGGTGGGACAATGGTGGTGGGGACACCTGTAGTGACCCCCTCCCGGTTTTCAGGAGAAGGGGGGGAGTTCGAACCGGTAGTGACCCCTCCCTGTTTTCTGGAAAGGGGGGGGGGTCGAACCGGTAGTGACCCCCCACGGTTTTTTTGAGGAGGGGGGGAGGTGGGGGCTTTGCCGGGGGAAGGGGAAGGGGGGTTCTAACAGGGGGGGAGGGGGGGATTTTCGGAGGGGGGGGGTCCCCCGGGCTCCAGACGAAGAGAGGGGGAATTTTCCACAGTAAAGCGGCGGTGGATCAAGCTCTCACACAGGTGTGTATATACGTGTCTGTGTATATATACATGTTCATATACACATACATACATACATACATACATGCATGCATGCATGCATGCATGCATACATACATACATGCATGCATACATGCATACATGTATACATGCATACAGACATACATGCATACAGACATACAGACATACAGACATACAGACATACAGACATCCATATATGACGACTTCGCGCCCCCTTGTGGGGGAGTTCACCAACACGGGCGACTACACAGAGGCACACTTCGGCCTCGCGGCACCTTGATGTGCGCGCGGGAGACCGTACCGCGACGGTGCGCTCGCTTATTCCGCGGCTGCGATTGACGACCTTCGGACCGCGATGGGGGGCTGCTTGAAGGTCATTGGTCGCCTCGTCATGCACTCCCACGGCGACGAACCTCTCGACGACCCCGCGCGCGCCTGGGACGCATTCAACTCCGATGAAATGGTCCTGCAAGAGTTCCGTTCCCACCTTGCCCCTGTGATGCTTGGTTCACATCTCGGCGATCCTGGCATTTGTCAGGTCTCTAGCGCCCTCGAAGGCGCCGGCGTCGCCGCTGTGCCCACTGGCCCTCGCCCTCGGTCGGGCACCCTTCCTGGCCCTGCCCCTCGTCCCCGTGCTGTCCCCGATTTGTCACCCTCCTCCCCCTCCTCCTCCTCCTCCTCCTCCTCCTCCTCCTCCTCCTCCTCCTCCTCCTCTTCCTCCTTCTCCTCATCCTCCTCCTCCTCCTCCATACCACTTTTGCTCAAAATGCTTGGTTCGTCCGGGGAACACGTGGATACCGCTAGTCCGCGGTAGGCAAAGCTGTTCAACCTGGCGATTCTCTCGCATCGACTTTCTGCTGCCCAGCACTGGTACGGGCAGCACCTCAGCTGCTAGCAATCATGTCGCCGTTCTCGCCATGGCTGACGGCGCGCCCGAGATGGCCCACGACTCGCCCGCGGAGACAGCCGCCGCCACCACGCCACGTGCTGAAGGCAGTGTTGGTCGCTCTGGCTCTCGGTCACCCTCCTCGCGCAGCTCCGCCAGACGCAGCACCTCTCGCAGCGAACATCGTCGTCGCGAGGCCCGTCGGCGGAGGCAACGCCGGCAGGACCGCGCCGAGGGGGGACGCGACCCCCGACAGCCTCGTCGCCCTCCTGCCGCATAGAACCGCCGTGCTAGGACGACTGTCAACCGCGACAGTGGAGCGCCAAGCGGGCCACTCTGCCTCACAGCGAGTCAGCTGGGAGCAACAGCAGCAGACTTGGAGATCATGCCCACCTTCCCACCCTCGCAGTTGGGGCCTGGTGACGACGCAGCCCTGGGCGCCCAGCCACCGCCCGACGCCTGGGCTGCCGAGGCAGCGAGGCGCTTTGGCCCCAGGCGCACTGCATGCGGCGGCGCGGCGGGCATCTGCTCCCAGGACACGGCCACGAGGCTCGGCAACATGGAGCGCCGTCTCGGCGCACAGCTTCAGCACAATGCTCAAAACCTCTCGGCCATCTTCCAGCAATTGCAGCAGGAGCTCGCGCAGGCGGTCGGCGCGCGCTTCGCGAAGGTGGGCGAGCGGCTCGGCAGCATGGGAGAGCGCGTGCGCCAGGAGGTGGGCGACGCCCGCGCCGAGATGGGCTGCGTGGCATCTGCGACGCCGCGGGGACTGCCGAACACCAAGGGCTGGGCCCGCGCCGTCGACGCCACCATCCTGGCGATTACGGCAAGGGCCAACGTGCCGAAGCAGGCGGCGGCGGACGCTGTGCGACCAGTCCTGGAGGGCGCAGAGCTGCTCTCCCTCGCGCCCGAGGCCGCCGCTTTGGAGGGAGAGGCAATGGGCGGGCACTTCAGGCTGCGCCCCCTTGGCTCCGCGGGTTTGGCGGGGCGGCGGATCGCCAAGCTCCTGGGCCTGCCGCGCACTGGGCCCTCCTCGTGGCGCGAGTTCTCGGCTGCTCTCCCGAATGGCGGACGGGCGCGCATCGACGTCGGGAAGGGCCGCAAACGCGGCCGGATCTCCCGCGAGATCTAGCTCAAGAAGCCGCGCAATACCCTACAGGAACACATCCCCGAGCGCTACTTCGCGGGCAGGGATTCGAATGCGACGCCGTCTATCTCGGCCCCTGGCGCGCAGCCCGAGATTGCGCGGAACACGGCGGCGGCGCGAGCCATCGACCAGACTGGCGAGGCGCCCTGGGCCCTGGCGGACCGCGCTGGAACTGCAGAGCCCCGATGCAGTCGGACAAGGGCGCCAACCACATGATCAATATTAAACTCAAGTACACCCCACGCTGTTGGAAGGTTCCAGCGCTGCCGGGGCCCCAGGAGACCCACGCCTCGGATGCAAGCATGGAGGCGCTGCTGGAGAGATCGGGGAACTCATTTCATTGCTTCGCCTCGTGCCTGACAGGAGGTCTAGAAAATGCGGGAGGTTTCGCGACTGCAGTGCCTGCCCCAGCTGACGGTCACGCCTGCGGTTTTGAACCTGAGGAGCTCGTCCCTGGACGCGTTCTTCGGCTACGTGGTGCCGTTCAATCTTTGGCGCCCGTGGAGGCGGGAGTCCGTTTCTTCCATTGAAATGTACACGACCACGATGTTTCACCTGATCAGCGGCGACGGGCCGCTGCCCGCCCGCGCATCGACCTCGAGCGGGCTCACCGCGAGCCCGCGGCGCGCTCTGTCTTCGTCGACGGCGACTTCAACTTTGGCGACTACGACGAGATCGACGCCTCCATGCAGGGCGGCCAGAAACCGGCGCGGCAGGGCCCCGCCTCTGGCGGCCACCCAGCGCGAAGCAGACTGTCACGAGTACGTTCCGGAACGGCTCCGCCAGAACATTCTGGCGGCATGTCCTGGCCAGCGTTCGCCCGCCCGCAGTCGGCGACTCAGGCGGCTCGCCTTGCGCGCCACCCTGGCCAATGGCAATGGCTGGAGGCGCTGCGAGCTACCGCCGAGCTGACGCCTGGCAGGCCCACCCATTGGAACACCAGCACGCGCGCGAGCTCAACCATTGATCGGACATTTGCGGGGCACCCGCGGCGGCAGCTCTGCCAAGGCAGGCTGGCGCGCCGAGTGAGAGGGGCGGCGCGCGAGCTCCATGTCCGCGGAATCAGCGACCACTCCACGGCTGTGGCCTCGCTGCTCCGCCGCCAGCGCCCGCTGCGAGACGCTGACATGCCCGCGGCCATCCCGCGCGATGTAGTTAGACGCCCACGCTTCAAGGAGATCGGGGATGGCTACTCGGGGCAGGTGCACCTGGCTCACAAGGCCCCCACTGACGAGCACAAGTACTTCACGATTGCCGCCCAGCAGGAGCCTGAGAATCGGAGGATGCAGCTGGTCGCGCAGCAGCGAGCCCTCCGTCGCCGCGCGCGACTCTGGGCGCCGCCCAACGCTAGGCGATGCCTGGCGACGCTGGAGGTCGAAGGCCGTGAGCCCGTGGAGACCGTAGCCATCAACCGCGCGCCGAGCCAGCACTGGGGCCAAGTCTTCCGCCCCGCGATCCCGCCCGACGTCGGCGCGCAGCGGCGGAAGGAGCAGCGGGCGCACCTGGGGCGAGTTCCCCGCGCCCCAGCTGGCGGACCCGCGCACGGCGCTGCGCCGCGCCCGACCTGCGGCCCCGGGCCCTGACGGCCTTCCCGCGGCAGCCTGAGCAGCAGCGAGTAGCGGCGCATCTGTCCTCCATCGGAACACGCAGCGGATGCTCGAGGGCTTGCCTGCGTGATCCGATTATGATCTAGCCAGCGACGTCCTTCTCCCCGAAGGATCGGCGGAGGCTGACCTGACTGTTGCCCCGCGGGTCCTTGGCAGCGCGCGTTCCCTTTCGCCGCGCAACGCTGGTGCTAGAGGAATTCGATCGGCCCTGAACTGGCCGCTTAAACGTGCCGCGCCAAAAGTTGTCGCCCCATGTCAGAGAGGATCCACGCGCGGTCGACACTTTCTTGCGAATCTGATTGAGGTCGACAGATTTGCCGGAGCAGGCAGCACGCAGGCCATGGACCCCCCTTCCCTTGCCACGGCCCACCCTCTCCTCCTCGCCTTTGACTACGCCCGCGCCTTCCCCCAGGTAGCCCACGCCTGGATCTGGCAAGCTCTGGGGTCTCGGGGCGCACCCAAGGCCATGATACCAACGGTCGAAGCGAATTGCAGCTTCGCTGCCACTCAGCGGTGACGGCGATCGCCCACTCTTGCTGTGGATCCTGGCCGGCGCCCTCCATGGGGACCCCCTTTTCAGACAGCCTCTTCGCTATTGCTGCGCACCCGTTCTGCCGAGACATGGAGCGGGCCCTGGAGGCCGCGGGCGAGGGGGTTGGGAGGTGGCGCGCGGACGTCGGAGCGGCGGCGCGGGGAAGCGTCTTCGCGCGCATCCTTAGGATCTCGAAAAGCTTGCTAACCATGGGCCGAAGCATCCAAAATGCCGCGCCGCCCCGCCGCGTGCCCCGCGGCCCGAAGAGATGGAGGCCAAAGCTGCCGAGCTTCTCGAATTCACGAGTTCTGGGTGGGGCGGCAATGCACTAGCGGCCATGACGAAGACGGGTCTCACTTTAAAAGCGCGCCGGCCCCGAATGCGCCGTCTGCTGGAAAACTGCGCGTGGGGGCGCACGCGCGTTGGCCAGCTGCACTGGCGAGGCCCTGCCGGTAAGAAAGTGCTGCGCCATTGGCCCAACTTCTGGCGGGAGCCAGCGGTGGCGCGGTCTCTGCGGGAAGCGGCGGAAGCTCGGGCCTCCTTGGGGCGGGACCGCGCGGCGGCCCTTGCGGGGCCGTCCTCTCTGGAGGCCGAGGCGTTCGATGCCGCAGAGGGTCGAACGACCCGGCGCCTTGCTGACCCAGCGCGGAGCAGACCTTCACCGGAACGTTCCAGAACAGCTCCGCCGGAACACTCTGGTGACATGTCCTGCTGCGAAGGGCGCTCGCCTCAAGACGCAGCGTGCTCTGGCCCGCGGTACCATCCCTGTCCTCCATCGGCCCCCCGATTCTCTTCTCCCCTGCCTTCGAACACGCCTCGCCAAATCGTTTGAGATTGACCCCGTCGCCTCAGGCCAGTTCCAGTGGCAAGAGGTGCGTCTCGTTTTGAAGTTGGCCCCACCCTCCTGGCGCCTGGCGGCGATCCGCACGTGGCCAGGAGCTGGGTCACGGACACGCGTTTAAGGAATGTCGACCGAGGCTGCCTGTTCGGATGCCCATGCCGACACAGTATCACACACGAGACTCATGGCCCGCATTCCCATGGGAATGTCGCAGTGGTATATTGCCCATCCCCCCCTCCTGAGCCTTTCCCGTTTCGTTTTGCCCTCCACCCGTGCACGGTCTCCCGTCCCCGCAGGATCGTGATGTTTTATCACGTCCATCGCCTTCTGCGCGCTCGGAGCAGGAGAGGTTCGGACGGCCCACACGACCCCGCGATTGCCTTCATTCTCGCACGCGCCGCGTGCCTGGCCACCGACCGATCCATGGGGCCACGGAGGCGGCAGCAGCGGGAGCGGGGGCGTGGGCAGCGGCAGTAGTTGATCAGACGGACTCAAAGGGACGCTCCGCCTCCTCCTCCTTCTCCTCCTCCTCCTCTTCCTCCTCCTCCTCCTCCTCCTCCTCCTCCTCCTCCTCCTCTTCCTCTTCCTCCCTGAACGATGGGGGGGAATCGCCAATTCTAACATGAGGCCGACGCTGCAGCGGGGGCACCATTTCGAGACACCGACAATTCTTTGATTTTGTTTGGAAAAAGAAGGATATGCCAAGTCTGAAATTCTAGACGCTTCGCGTATCCCCACCAGCCCGTCCAGAAACGACGCCCAGGCGAGTAGAGGGTCGTCCTGAGGGGCTTTTCGGCGTCTTGGGTGCCTCGGGGGGGCCTCTGTGGGCCGTTCGGGATCCTCTTTGGGGCCTCCTGGGGGCCTCTTGGGGCCTCTTGGGGCCATCTTGGGGCCTTGGGTGCCTCTGGGGGGTCTCTTGTGGCCTCTTGGGGGTCTCTCGGGGGCCTCCTGGGGGCCTCTGGGGGGGCCTCTTGGGGCCATCTTGGGGCCATCCTGCGGCCTCTTGGGGCATCCTGGGGGCATCTTGCGGCCATCGTGGAGGAAATCGATCAAAGAAGAGGGGAGCTTTAATTAGCCCTGCCCCCTCAGAAGGCCAAAATGGGGCCAAAACCCTAGTAAAATCAATGATGTTGGCTTCCTCGCCGAGGCCGTTTTGGACGCTCTGACCGCTCCCCGCCCCTCCTGTCCAGGTCAGTGGGGAGGGGGTAGGGGGAGGGGTAAACCCCTCCCCGCAGGGGAAGAGGAACGGGTGGAAGAGGAAACGCTCTAAACCACCGACGCCCAGAGGGCTGGTGGGATTTCGCGTGTACCGACAACACGCGACTGGGGGGCGGGCCACCACCCGGCCATCTATCTTCGGGGGAGAGGATGGTAGCATTCACATTCCCAAAACACTGATTGTCTTTAGGGGGTCTTATTTCTCTTCTAAGGAATTGGACCTGTCTGCCAGTCTGGCGGCTACGCTGCCGCCGTCGCCGCCCCGTCGCCGCCTCGTCGCCGCCCTTCGTCTTGGCCTGTCTGCCGGTCTGGCGGCTATGTCGCCGCCCCGTCGCCGCCCCGTCGCCGCCTCGTCGCCGCCCGTCGTCAGGGCACGTGTGCCGGTCTGGCGGCTAAGTTGCCGCCGTCGTCGCATCGTCGCCGCCATTCGTTTTGGCCTGTCAGCCATTCTGGCAGCTATGTTGCCGCCGTCGCCGCCCCGTCGCCACCTCGTCGTCGTCGCCGCCCCGTCGCCGCCTCGTCGCCGCCCGTCGTCAGGGCCTGTCCGCCTCTTGGGCGGCTATGTTGCCGCTGTCGCCGCCCCTTCGCCGCCTCGTCGCCGCCCGTCGCCCCAGCCTGTATGGCGGCTATGTTGCCGTCGTTGCCGCCCCGTCGCCGCTTAGATTGCACAACGTAGGTTCTCCTTCTTGATAAAAAAGGAAGTAGGATCTACCGCCCCCCCCCCAAAGGTTAGCCGTTCACCTTCGCGTCCTGTAATTTCGACATGAACCACTTCCATCGTTCGTTCTATGTTCGGACTCGTACCATCCTAGCCTGACCAGGTCCCCATCCATCGCCCCATGGAAATGATAATATGCGCGTACAGTCGTTTATTAAAGTCATCCGTTTCCTCGAATCCTTTGCAAGAGATTGGGCCAAGACCACACGCGAGCGTCGTCGCGCGCTCATGCCGAAATCCTTCAGAACCGTAGGTTTCGCCGTAAGTGTTGTGAGGATTTCGAAATCGAGCGCCCCGAAACATATGGAAAGCATTGTTTTCCAACAGGTGCTGTCAACAAAAGCTACACGCGCTTTGCAAATTCTTGAGAAAGCCATGCGTTTCTTTTTCGTCAACTGCGACTAAGCGGCCTCCCCGCGCGAGCATGTCGAAATCACTCGGAATCCTTTTTGCGCGCGTGCTGGGGAAGGGGGGCGCCGTCCCTGTTAAAGCGACCACGCGGGCCACTCGCACCCGTCGGCTGTGCACGCATGCCGAAATCATTCTACAGCATTCATCACCGACACGTGGACACCATCATTCCCATCGGCGTGATCAGCATCGGCGCCGTCATTGGCTTTGGCGTCGTCATCACCTTCGTCGTCACCAGCATCGCCACTATCATCATCGTGTCTGCCGATGTCGACGTCGCCATGATACCGCGCCCGCCCGATTCACCGACCCGCACTGGGGTGCCCGCGCGTCAGCGCGGCTGGCGAAACGCGTTGGGAAGTCCCCAGCGGTCAGCGCCACCGTGGCCACGTCGGTCGCGCCAGACCAGCTTGACGCTGTGCGCGCGAGGCTGCACGCGCTAGCGCGGCCGCAGCGATGCGCCAGCCAGCGCCAAGCAGTCATCGCCATCACCGCCGCATGGCTTTTGCGATCCAAGAAAGCGTTGTTTGTTCATCTGGCGGGTAATGCTTGCTACCCGGGCCCAACTCCCCCCCATCCCCCCCCAGGTAACGCTAACGATCGTACGCTTTTGCGGGGGCGGAGGGCGGACCCCCTCCTCTCAGCAGGTATGACGCCGTGCTCAAAAGCATGGCGTGGTGCTGGAAGGCATGCGTGGTGCTCACAAACGTGTTGTGGTGTTCGCAGGTTCCCCACCTGTTGCGGCGCCGAATTCACAGGCATGGCGTGGTGCTACAAGGCATGTTTCAGTGCTCGCCTGCTTGTTGCGGCGCCTGCAGGCTATTACAGTGCGCAGACTAGTGTGGTTTACGTCTACACCCCTATGTTCTGTCCCCCTGCTCTTCCCACTGGTGGAACTCGGGAAGCAATGCTGCCAGAGGGTTTCGCAGCCACGCGTGGGTGGAACAATGGTTATCCCGCGTTTGTTACAATTGGCGCTAACGAATGCGGGGCGACGCCGAATGATGCCATGCGTGCAGCTGCTGGATGGCATAACATAATCCTACCGCATCCCGCCTGCTCCACCGCCTACTAATAGTTTCCCCCCTCTTCGTCGTCCTCTGCCCCTCCTCCTCCTCCTCCTCCTCCTCCTCCTCCTCCTCCTCCTCCTCCTCCTCCTCCTCCTCCTCCACCTCCTCATTCCT